TCGCGTCCCGATTCCCTGGTATTTTGGGAAGTGGGGCGTGACACCGACACAGTTGCGTATGCACTTCCGGTAGAGAGTATCGATGAGTTAGTGCCTACTACATTCAGAGAGGCCGAGCAGAGTTCGGAGGCTGATTCGTGGTAGGTGGCTATGCAGGAGGAGATGGAATCTCTTCATAAGAACGATACATGGGAGCTTGTTGAGTTTCCAAAGGGGCGGAAGGCGATTGGGTGCAAGTGGGTGTACACGAAGAAGGAGGGCATTGAGGGCACTCCATTGAGGTTCAATGCTAGGTTGGTTGCGAAGGGCTATGCACAGGAGGAAGGAATAGATTATAATGAGGTTTTCTCTCCGGTGGTGAAGCATTCTTCGATTCGGATTCTGCTAGCTTTGGTGGCACAATATGGTTTGGAGTTAGATCAGTTGGATGTGAAGACGGCATTTCTTCATGGTGATCTTGATGAAGAAATATATATGACTCAGCCATTGGGATTCCGAGCTGTGGGGAAGGAAAAATTAGTTTGCAAATTAAAGAAATCGCTATACGGTTTGAAGCAGTCTCCTCGACAGTGGTATAGGCGATTCGATGGTTTTATGATTGGTCATTCGTACACTCGGAGTCAGTTTGATCCTTGCGTATATTTTCGCAAGTTGAAAGGAGGTGCGTACATTTATTTGTTGCTCTATGTCGATGACATGTTGGTTGCCTCTACTTCCAGGTCAGCTATAGATGAGTTGAAAGTTCAGCTTTCGAATGAGTTTGAGATGAAGGACTTGGGCGAGGCGAAGCGCATTTTAGGGATGGAGATCGGCAGAGACAAGAAGAAGGACAGAATTTGTTTGACACAGGTGGCTTATTTGAAGAAGGTTCTACAGCGGTTCCATGTTAGCATGGATACGAAGCCAGTTGGTGTACCTTTGGGAGCCCATTTGAAGCTTTCTGCTGGTCTTTCACCGAAGTCAGTTGAAGATCGTTAGTTGATGTCGAAGACTCCATATGCGAGCGCAGTTGGGAGCTTAATGTATGCAATGGTATGTACGAGACTAGATTTGTCACAGGCGGTAAGCATGGTTTCGAGATACATGCATGATCTAGGAGTGGGTCATTGGGACGCCGATTTGTCACAGGCGGTAAGCATGGTTTCGAGATACATGCATGATCTAGGAGTGGGTCATTGGGACGCCGTGAAATGGATTTTGAGGTACATTCGAGGTACGCTCAATGTTGGTTTAGTTTATGAGCGGGACGCTACAGGTGGGCAGTTATGCATTGACTATGTTGATTCGGATTATGCCGGGGATTTGGATAAGCGCCGGTCTACGACGGGGTATGTGTTCACTTTAACCCGTACGCCGGTGTGTTGGAGATGCACCTTACAGTCGACGGTAGCTTTGTCTACGACGGAGGCAGAGTATATGGTGGTTACGGAGGCTGTGAAGGAGGCTATTTGGCTTCAAGGACTTTTGGAGGAACTTGGTATATCGCAGAGGTCCGTCACTATTCATTGTGATAGCATGAGTGCTATCTATTTGGCGAAGAATCAGGTTTTTCATGCGAGGACGAAGCACATTGACGTTCGTTATCACTTCGTTCGGGATGTTCTTGAAGATGGCGATGTGGAAATTATGAAAGTCCACACGAAGGATAATCCAGCAGATATGCTCACTAAGGTGGTTCCGAGCAACAAGTTTGATCATTGTAGAAGCTTGTTGCACATTCGTGATTGTTGAGGCCGTTGGCGGCCATTTGGGTGAACTACGTTCAGCTTGATTCCTTGGGCAAGAGGATACGTAGGCAGTCTTTCAGATGCAGCCGGTTTGGATTAGTTGATGGGGTGAGATTGTTTGGACTCTCGTTTGGGTTCTCGACTTGTTATGGATTGAGTTCGTACTGGACACAACAAGTTGGGACATTTGGATGCTTTGATGTCGCGTTGGTGTCGGCTCAGTTTTGGAAAAACTTCACCGAGGTGGAGAATTGTGAACGAGTGGGTGGTGGGCCAGACCCACGTGAACTCAACGTGAACTCAACCTTCCCATGCGTTTCTTTAACGCGGTTTTACGTGGACGAATTTTGATTTTAACCGCTGGCCCAAGTTCGTTTTGATTTTAACCGCTGGCCCAAGTTCGTTTTAGCCACAAGCATGCAGGATTCTCCGGTTATATAAAGGAACAAATACTGTTCCTAGGGTTTTGTACGAAGAAGGTGTGCAACGATTTGGTTTTTGCGACTGGAGAAATCTCTTTGTGTGCGGCTGTGCAAAAGAAAAGGCAGAGGCCTATTTCTTTGGTTTTTGTGCATCCTTTTGTAGAGAGATATTGTGAGGGATTTGAGAGTTTGTTTGAGAGTTTAGATTGAGAGTGATTGTAAACCCTAGTTGTATTCTCTCCCTCTATTAGTGGATCTCCCCCCTCCTTGCCCCGTGGACGTAGGCAATTTGCCGAACCACGTAAAATTAGTTGTACTGCTATTTGTGTGATTTGTAATAGCTTTTAGGTTCCCTCGACGCGTAGTCCTAGAGCTGACGAGAGGAAGAACTAATATCCCATTTTGATGAGATATTAGGCTTCAAATTCTTGTTCCCTTTGAGAAACAAGAATTCTTATTGCGACCTGACTCTCTTGTTGTGCTGCCGAAATTTCCGCTGCGCGCAACGCTGACGGGAGATAAGGAATTGGATACGGATTCTCGTGGGCAAATCACGGAATGCCTGTGGGCTGACTTTTGTGACAGCACGTTCCAGACCCGTTTCCCTTTCTTTCTTTTTTTCTCTCTTTTTTCTTTTTCCCCTTTTTTTTTCTCTTTTTTCTCTCTTTTTGGACGTGAAAAATAAGTTTGCCTACAAAGAAAGATTTGGAGCTATTCATGAAGAACTTTTTTTTTGTTTTTTTTCAATGGCTTAAAACATCAACAGAGGAGAGTTGTTTCAGGTCCTTGCAAGTGAAACCTCTGTCATGCCACAAAAATTTCTTGCTTTTTTACTTCATTTGATCCATAGAGTTTATGGTTGAAAATTTTTAATAATGATTTTCTTTTAATGAAACACTCGGTGCAGGCTAATGACAAGCAGTTACTTGTTCTTGTTACAAAATCATAAATTGTATACAAATCCTTCGACTCCTAGGTTCATTCCGTAAGTTGTAAAACTCCGAAAGCTTTCAAAATCTAGCAAGGGAGAAGTTTGTGCAACATCAAAGAGTGCTGTAGCCGAGGCCTGCTATATTGCATTGGAAAATAAGCAATTTTCAGTTACTCCTTTGCATTTTGTGAACAGATACGATACTACTGCTCATCACAACTGCACAACCACAATGCTGAGCAATTCCTGTGTCGTCAAATTATCCATTGAAGGACTCCATATGCATAGTAAATAAAGCAACATTCTTGCTCCCAAATTTTACTATTCTTACCATCATAAGAAGCCAAAAAGAATGAACTGCATATAGAGATTTTGAAACCAGTATATGTACAGCACAAGATACGACAATTTTTCGCATAGAGAATGACATGAATATCCATACTGAAATATGTAGTGAAGTAGCTAGCATGCTTGAACTTGATCAGAAAATACTGAAATATGCAATTGCGCGTATCAAACTGTGTAAATCATACCAAAAATGACTAGGTTTCTGATTACTACACGCCAGCAAAACATGTTGAATTTGAAACCAGTGTAAATAAATTGTAGTATATATGTTACCTTCGAATTTCTTTTCTGCAATGCCCATCTTGTGGGCAAATATAGCAGTGGAAGCTATATCAAGTTTGGTTGGAAGGTAGTTTGGATAATACGCACTATAAAATGACTTCAGAATCAAAGAGATGTAACTGTATTTGCTTTGCACAAGAACTTTACTATGCAACAGAGCTCACGGTCATAAACTGAAACAACAGTTTGCAATACAAACGCATATTTACTTGCATAAATTCCCAAATTCAAACAACACTCTTACCAGTACAAAATTAGACAAACCGTACAATAATCTAACTTGATATCAACACCAGACCTGAGACTCTAAGCATAAAACATCAAAATAGCAATAGGAGGCGTTTTGATACAATTGTATTAGTTCAACACGAGTTGAGTTGCTCAGGTCATTGTAGGTGAAACCTCTACCATGCCGTAGAAATTTCTTAGTTTTCACTTCAACCTAGATCCAAACCATTTTCTTGTGAAAAAACAGGATAAATCCTTCGACTTCTAGCTGCAAGTCAAAAGTTGTGAAACTTCAAAAGCTTTCAAAAAACAATCAATGGAAAAAAGCTGGTACAAATTCAATGACAGCTGCAGCTGAAGCCTGCAGTATTGCATTGTAAAATATGCAATTTTCAATTACTCGTTTGCATTTTAGCTAACAGATACTTTACTGCTCATCACAACTGCACAAGCACGATGCTGAGCAATTGCCAGTTTACATTTCCCAACTCATATGCATAGCCGATCAAGCAAAATTCTTACTCCCACATTTTACTAATCACACCACCACAAGAAACTAAAAAGAATTTTAACTGTAAAGGTTTTGAATCTATAACAGATGCAACATCCATCAGCATAAGAACAAATATAAGAAACAAGAGAGTCCTAAGCACTCATCCCATTATTCCATAATTCACAGAAATTGAGACACCAATTAAGAATAGAAAGCAATCTGAAAAACAAAAAGAGAAAAAGCAGTTGCAAGAGAACAATTCACAGTCCTTGGTTCAGTCATCTCCATGGATTTTATCAACAACACCAATAGAGTGAACCTGAATTACCTGAACATGAATCCAGTTCCAAAAAATTTAGGCTTACAGAACTTCTATCTTAGAAGTTACTGTGAATGAAACAATGAGAAATGTCGTAGGTTTCAAATCAGACAAGAAACAGGGATAAAAATCATATGATTTCAAACTTTAAATAAGTCAATAAGTTAGAATTATATCAATCAGGGAAGTTACTGTTTGTCAAAAGCGCAAAAAAAAAAAGAAAAAAAAAAGAGGGTAAGTGTTTCTGACCAGGATACTATGTTTACCCAAAAAAGAATATGTCAAGTGTGTTAAACTAGTTCCCTTATCTCCATTGAACAGTTAATATAGCATTGAACTGCTGTTCAGCAAAGTTAGTGTCTTCTTCAGCTGCTTTGACACCCTTTTCCAAATCACCATTTTCATATTCATTCTTTCTATCTCAAGAATCATAAATTCTCTTTTGTCCTGAATGCGCCTGAGCTCTCGTTCCCGTATCAATAGATCTTCATCAACTGCAAGAAGTAGCTCATATTTCTTTTCCATCTCCTCTTCAACTTGAAGCACTTTTGCTTTCAGGGAACGCTTCTCACCCTCTAACTGACTTTGCACATTATGTACCTCTATCAACTTTAATAGGCGAGAACACACTGATTCAATATTGAATCCATTCGATTCAAAGAGACCAAGGGCTTTCAATTTCAGATCAAAAACATTTTTGGAATCAACTATGCGCACGCTGCAAATTTCAGTCACTAAGGTGACAAAAGTCGCCATCTTAAGATGCATACAGTAGATTCTTGGCTCATGGAATGGTGATAGTGATCTGATTTGATGGAAATCATAACTGAACACTCCTTGTGTATAGTACAAAATGTTAACCTGGGGAGCATTATACCTATAGTACATCTGCAATTTACTCTTTATGAAACAACTAGCTCTAGTTAAAAATATGTATCACAGGTAAATCAACAACTGGAATATCAAAAGGAAAGAAAAAAAAACAACTTCAGCACTTGCATAATTAGGTCAGGAATTATGCATAGAAGAAAAAAACTTGAACACATGGCAAATCACGAGAACATTGAACTTGAAGACATTACATGTCATGCACGTTCATACTTAAAGTCCCTCTAACCATTAGATCAAAACTCCGAAGTTGTGATGAGAGTCAAGGGTTACATTTTTATATTAAAACAATATGGTGTTATTTTTTAGAAAATCCGCTTTAAAATCATGATTGGTAGGATTTGAACCTCAGATACTCTGACACCATCTTAAGGTCCCTCTAACCATTACATTAAAACTCTAACCATTACATCAAAACTCCAAAGTTGTGGTAAGAGTTAAGAGTTATATTTTATATTCTGACACTCGTAATTCTTAAAGGTTAAAATTCCTAATGGTTATAATATTTGAAGAATAACATGGGTTTGGAACTGAATGTTGTTTTGGATTCACATGCAGAACGTCCTGTATATAATAGTATAGATCAATACTTACATGATGGTAACAGCTTGTATAGACCAACAGGGAAAAAAATTAGCATATATTTGTAGGACTTTAAGTGCTACAGTTTGTAGACATGGACACAAGTGTCATGCTTCAGCATGGACACTAGTTTTAAATCATGGTAATTATCCAAAACTCAGATTTGAGGACAAGTACATATGTAATCTAGGCTCATGCGAGTAGTTTTGGCTAACAGAGATCTATGTTGTCATCCATATGGAGATGAATCAAATTTTATTACAAAGATCTACAAGAAATTAGTTTTTATCAAACAGTATACAATATACTACATCTTCTATATGATGCTTGAGGTAAATAACAGTCAGCGATTTGCAAGTGTTGCACATAGATGAAGTTGGTGACACATCTAGGTGTGCTGGACACATCACTTAATTGGAGGGAGTAGTATCCTACATATCATGGCGAAAATGTAGTCAATAATACATTTGAAAAGAAAATGGGGCGCATGAAATGCAGTTTTGATTGTCTATAAAACATGTAATCGTGACATGTTACGACATAATTCAGACAACAAATAGTGCATGGCAAATCCTTAAAAAAGAAAAACCAAGGTTCAAATCCAACTAAAAAGTTATAATATTTTACAATACTTACAATATAAAAAACTGAAAAGACATTTATACAATCTTCACATCACTTTTTACAATATCGAAAACTAAAAAGAAAGAAAAAAAAGTTGTTGTAGGGACATTTGCAACAATAGTTGCAGCGAAACAAGGTGTTGCAACTGGAGAAACTGTGACTAAAATGCATGCAACAACTGCAGCTGAAAGTCCTCCAATGGCAAAACCTATTAAACAGTCTCTTAGTATTACAACTTATAGGAAGAAAAACAAAGTCACAGCCTCCTGGCTAGGCACTAAAGATATGATATAGAGTTTTTGTACTTGTTATTCAAGACCAGCTGCAAATTTTATTCAAACAAAAAAAAGAAAAAAAAAACTAGTCTGTTTAGGCAAAATGTTATAAAGTACTAATCACTATGTTTAGTAAAATGACGGTAAGTGAAAAATCAATTTAGCACACATTCCTAATCATAAACACTTCGCCTCATTTGGTACACGGGAATGAGTAGGAATAGAATGCAATTCCAACTTCTTATTCATGCTTACCAAACATGATGTGTTTTTAGATGCTAGAAATGTCATTTCCACATCTCGTCAATTCCCACTTAATGTGGGAATTTCCAATGAATTATTAAGAAATTGATATTTTCACTTAAGTGAGAATGAAAATAATAAAATAAATTTCGGATTACCCTTCTTAAAGATTTTCCCACTTAATTCTCTAATTACATCCAAACATGAAAACGGGATGAACATTCCATTCCCACATTAATTCTATTACTCTCCTATCCTCATTTCATTCTCAATTGACTTCATTCCCGCGTACCAAATGAGACATTAGAAACAAACTTCTAAACAAAATCCCATATATGCACCATTTAAGACCAAAAAGTATTACAGTATAAAAATATTATCTTCAAACAATATCATTTCTAATAAAAAGGTAAAAAAACCAAAATACCAAAATTTATTGAGAAGCCTAAAATTGTAAAATCAATTTATTGTGCAAAAAATACAAACAGTACTATATGACAGTGGAAAACTCTATAATTTTAAATTAGAAAACTATATAGAAAAAACTAAAAACAATTGACCTCGAAACAACAATCTGAAAATGCACAAAGAAAAGGAAAACATTGCAAAAGGATATCCACCTAATAATAAAACATCCGTTGTCTAAAATCACCATCTAAAATTATTCAATCACACTCACCCTAACTAATATTCAAAAAAATGCAACAAATACCAAACGATGAGAAAGCCAACAAGAAAAAAAAAACTTCAAAAAAATACCTGAACTTCTTCAATAGGTTTCCAACCTCCCTTCACGAACTCCATTTGCCTCCTCATCTTTTCCCTCTTAAACCCAAGCTCCTCCCTCGTCATCGGAATATAAACAATATACAAACCATCCAAACCCTCCGGCAACTTAATCACCACTCCCCGCTACCATCCTCCATCATGGAAAACTTCAACGCACTGCTCAACCTCAAATACAACGTTCAAATCCTCAGACGGCGGTCGGAGCCGAACAAAAGAGCAGTGCACAGTCTCCTTAAGGGGACTTTTAGAGTCTGTGTTAGAGCCGAGGTCCCCGTATGTGACGGAGTATCATCGACATTTTTTCAGAGCATCTCCAACAGCTTCCCCAAAATTTTCTCCAAAATGGAGAAACAAAAGTCATATTCTCCAAATTATTTTTGCTCAAACTCCAACAGCTTCCCCATTTTAAAAAATCGCATTTATTACAATAATAAAGCTCTTCCCAAAAATTTGGAGAATGCTGCAGATTTGGGGAAAGCTCCTTATTTTTTCTCCTCCTTCCCTATTTTGGGGAATGGGATGGAGAATCTGTTGGACCAAAAAAAGCTCTATATTCCCCAAAATTGAGTATTTCAAGAAGATGGGGAAGCTGTTGGAGATGCTCTCAGGCTGGATCGATAAGTAACCTCGAACCACACTCCTCAAAGTCCTTGGTCATTGGATCTGACTTCTACTAAGGATCCGACCCGTAAGGTGTTCTGTAACGCAGCACGGAAGTGATAAAGCTCAGAATCCATCAAGTTGTGTTTTCTGAATCCACAAAGAACAATCTTTAAATCCACGAAGAGACAACCTCGAATCTATGAAGTAAATTAAAAAGAATTTTATTGATAAAAAGTGATATAATTCATGAGGCTTACAATCCTTCTTCTTAAATAGAAAAACAAAACCTCCCCCTAATAAGAACATAATTTCTAAAAGAAAGAAACAATTTAAAGCTGTCTAAAAGACTCTCTATAATAAAGACAAATCAGTCCTAATTAAATTAAAACTGATTTTGTTTTCTAATTTAAATTGACTCTAACTTTATTACTAAAAAGAAACTAAAAGCTGATTATTTCTAAAATCCTGTCAAAACGGGTGTTACTGATAGGATTGTGAGATTCTGCCAAGCTGATTGACTCTATCTCGTTGAGATATGTGATTTTCATATCTAATATGTTCGAATCTGTCTTTCGAATTAAAAGATATGGTTATTTCTCTACGGTCAGTTTATAATTCATCTATATTCGTATTTGACTCGTGAAGGTCCCGCTTCTACATGAATTTGATCATTATGCGTCCTCATCAGTCTCCCATTGTTGAAAGAAGCTAGATCCTGAGCTTATATTTGTTTGAATAACAGCTTTCTTGATATACACTTTTCTTCTTCTGCATCGATCAACATCCGTCTTATACTTAACATTAATTTCATCAATCTATTCTTTCACCTCCTCGGCAAGGGCTCATTCTGAATTAAACTTTTGAATGAATCTTTCCCATATTTTTTAATGTAACTGAGAGCATGTGGATCAATAGATGACTTGAAAATCTCCAAATATGTTCCATGTCTCTTTTCATATTCGAGTGTTGGAAGAATCATCAAAACCTTCTTGAAATTATTCACAACCTTTGCTTGCAGAGAATAAATTTCTCCCTCATACTTCATACATAATTCTTCTATCTCCTTTGCCTCGAGCCCTCCACCAAATAACTCATACATATCATTAATTGTCTCACTCTCTAATTTAACTTTCTCCTCTATCAGGATAACATCAATATGCGTAACATCACTCACGACGTCTTTGCGAATATCATGCATAATATCTGTCTTCATTAACATGTCACCATCAATATCAAGAACCTCAGGATGAATCTTGATGATGGCAGAATCTTCCTTTTTGTGGTGAGTGTCTCGTTGTCTGTAAACCACTAATTTAACTTTTCAATCTTTTGGGATTATCTCATACTCAAATATACATCCACTTCACTAATTTAATCGAGAAAATCATTAGCATGGACCTTTTCGTTGAATGATGGTCTTTTTAATCCTCCAGCTGTAGGATTTGTCTTGCGCAGTCGAATCTCGTTTTTGGTGACCATCAATGTGATCTCGAACTCATCCCTGATTAAGACGGTCCACTACCAACGCAAGTCAATTTATGGAAGTCCTTATCTGAGTAACTCTCATATTCAACTCATCGAACTCAATTCAGGTAACACGGGCTTCATCGCCTGCCATCGGATTGGAGAAATAGGACTCTGATACCAATTAACACAGCACGAAAATGATAAACCTCGGAATCCACCAAGGGGTATTCACTAAATCCACAACGAACAATCTTCAAATCTACGAAAAGACAACCTCAAATCCACGAAGTAATATAAAAAAGAATTTTATTGATAAAAGTTGATATGATTCATGAGGTTTACAATCATTCTTCTTAAATAGAAAAATAAAGCCTACTCCTAATAAAAACAGAATTACTAAAAGAAA